AATCTTTTAACTCACCTTCAGGGTCATTTTCGTCAATCAAGGCCTGAAGTTCAGAGTCGTCGAACAGCTGACCCATGGTGTTCAAGATGGTGGAAATTTTGAGGACATCAATGTAACCAGACTTGGTTGTGTCGAACATTTGGAATGCCTTGCGGAGCATGGCCATTTTCTGATCATCGTCAGTGTCCTGAAAATATTACAAATACAAATTGAAAAAAAAAGTTGTTGAGATTGAAAGTTAATTAATAAGAAAAGTTTTGCTCTATTTTAAATAGAAATTAATTAAAAATTTACTATCAATTTCAAACATAAAAAAACCTTTTAATGTTTTAATTAGTATTAAAGCCACGAAAAATTGTTTAATTGATTTATCTAACTAGTTTTTTTATCTTTTTTTTAACGTAATCTTTTTGTTTTTTTATCAATGGATGATATTAAAATTTCTATATTCTTTAACATCACACATATTCACATAATCACTGCTGTCACTTTTTAATTGTCTTTTCACTAAATAAAAAAAAAAAACCTCCTCACCATGTTTCAAAATTATTGACGCGAGAGTAACAAGAACCAAATCCGAGTGCGAGTATTGTTACACTAAAGCTTAACTTCACGTGCAACCCTTATTTATAGAAAATTTCAGTCGGCGTTATACAGGCATACGAAAATACTTGAAAAACTATATCTCTTTCTCTATCGTACGATCTCCAATAGTGACGCGGCGCCTCTATCCACTCGTATACGTCAGAGCTATGAAAATTTGTATCGTTACAGGAAACGCGGTGTTTATTTTCAGCAATTTATCGATTCAATATGACAGCTACGTTTTTATATGTTTTTAATGGGAATGCACTCCACTTTTAGCACTTCCTGATCTATTTACATAATTAAAATACGTATAAATTGCATGTTGTAAAATAATTAGTATCTACAACTTGCAACTGTAACATTATGATAAAAATTACAGTGAAAAAAGCAAGGAACTAAAAGATGCTAATATTTTTTAAAATGATAGTGTTTCATACTTTTGACAACCAAAATAAAATATTTCAGAATCGATGTAAATGTGAATGGATATCGCATGCCAACTGACGCAATGAGCTCATCTTTGAATTTAATAGTTTTGTTAAAAGCTTACATTTGGAATGCTTCATATTCTAGTGAACTAAAAGCGTATGCGCATATTAAGCAATTTACAGATTGGGAACAGGAAATACCTTTGAAGTAAATACCGATCCGCAAGCGTTCCAATGAAAATATTATTCGTAACGTCGCAGGTGTTTTGAAGATTAATTTTCAGTTTCTATATATTCGTAAGATAATATCATTTAACTTTATAGTTCACTAGCTGTCGCCCGCGACTCAATCTGTCAGTCTCAGGCTATCTTCTACATCTATGCCAAATTTTAGCGAGATTTATGCAGCCGTTCTGGAGACACCTTCTAACAAACCTTCATCCATATATCTAACCTAACATTCACAATTATAATATTAATAATACTACATTTAGAAACATAAATTTAGCTACAAAAAATAATATTGATTGTTAATTTAAAAAATGTAATCTTTTTTTTAAATTATTTTTGGCATATAATATAGCAATTACATTAATAGTGTCGAATGATTTCGATTGTTCTATTGTCACCTTGATGTATTAAGGTGATGCGAAACTGCTTTTGGTATGCGATACTAATTTGCGGCTGCTGGCGCGTGAAACGAGTTATACGACGCCCGCGCACATATAGAATGTCGGTGATCGACTATAATTTTTGTGCTCTCAAGCGAACGTCACTATAATGCTAGTAACACACGAGAGCAGAACACTGTGATAAAGCGGAGGACGATTCTTAATTGGCTTTGTTTGAACGCACCGCAACAGAACATTACTGTTTTTAGATATCTGTTAATAAGATTGCCTTTATATAATAGCAATACTGGATAATCAACTGCACTGTCGCACTATTCTGCCCTTGTGTGAAACTGATATAACAGCTAGTTCAGGCTCCAATAAGCTTTTGTGAACGAGTATACGTTTTTAATGATCGCACTTTTACAGTCGCCTCATTTTGTAATCACTTCAAAGCGTAAGACATAAACAATATTTGTTTCTTGTTTCATTGATTTAGCAGTGCTTTTTCTGACATGCTTTGCGTGTGTAATAATTTCCATTCTTTTCATTAAATTTTCAATGTTGACATGTTTAGAAATCAAAAGTGACAACTGATCTACTAACTTGCTTTCATATATTTTCTTAATATTGTCAATCAAAATATTAAATCATTTAATTAAACTATTATTTATTAATTTATATATGTATTATTTGTTTGAATAGCAACCACCATGTTCTAAAAAAAAGAAGTGTATAAGAATTAAATGTTGTGATGTATAATCGGCTCCAACGATTTTCATAAAATTTAGTATATAGGGGGTTTCGGGGGCGATAAATCGATTTAGCTAGGAATCATTTTTAGAAAATGTCATTTTATTCGTATTTTATCGATAATCAACATAAACATAAACTTAACTTTTTCTATCGGTAATATCGAAAAATGTTATTCATATTTCATCATTTTATTAGTAATTCGTACTTAAATATAATTTCCAAAAAACACAATTTAAAAAAAATACCGAGCAAAGCTCGGTCATCCAGGTACTTTATTTATAAATAAACAACAATTATAATAGTTACAAATTAAGGCAATGCAATCTTATTGCAATTAATTATCGAGTGACATTATTCTGGCATTGTTCACCAATGTTACCAAATGTAAAACATGTCTAATACGTCGCGTAATGTGTCTACATTCATATAGTTTTATTAGATCGTGTTTCGAGTAGGAAATATAAGACATCAGCCAATAGAGTTGATATTCGGAATACCTTGGCTTCACACGTCCTAAACTATTTCTGAATAACGCCCGTGGGGACTGAGTTACGTGTTATTTATATAAATACATCTCAACTATCTGTGTTACTGTTTGTGAACACTTTTCATATATCTATAATAGTTGTTTTATTGCTGTGTTTTATTTCGTTAACGATTTTATTTGGCAACCCATTGATATGTTTATTATATTTTAATTGTTTTTAATTTAATATTAATAAATGTATTAATTTAAGTTGTCGTTTAGAAATTTACAAAAAACAATTTGAAATCTACCTACAATTAGCAATATTTTTAGTCTGTAAATAGAACTTGCCAAAAAGCCAATAGAATACGCTTAATCTAATTAGTTCCATAAATGTCATATAACCTAGGTGGTGAAATATGCAGCCCTTTATTATAAAATAATTATAAACTGAGAAACAAACGAGAATCGTTATGGAATTTAAGTGACGGTTACGAATGTGGTTTATACGGCAAATTAAATATTAAGTTTGTGAAAAATTAAGTGATTTTATGCCGTTGTTGTTGAATTATACATCGAAGGTACATATGTTTTATCTATACATTTGTAATTGTTATGTATTACGTTTATATTTGTAGTATAAAAATTGTAATCAACAATAACATTTTAGATTATAAATAATCATTGGCAATAAACTAGTATTAGGTGAAAATATTTAGTACTAATATTATTTTTATATTTAATATTAGTTTTAATTAGAGAAAAAACGACTTATGTATTCAAATAAGATAATTAATATTACATTTGCAACAAGACACAAACAATGATGTCAAACATTCTTTGCAATTTTATCCATAACATAATTTTATATACTTTAATTCGTTTAGACTAAACCTCAAATAGTTCTTTAGAGTAATAGCGCATTAATTAGACACTAGGCTAAATCTAAACTGAACTCTGAGTCATTTGTGTCAATGGTATAGGAATATAGCTTTGATTTCGTACGGAACTGACCGCTCTTCTTTGTAGGAGATATTACGATTTATCTATCGATAAAATTCATTCTTGTTCAAAAGTGCCCTATTGTTTAAACTACAGCTGTTTAATATTAATACAGTATGATTTAAAGATTATTATATTTTTAATATTAGAATCAGTTTGATTTTCAAAACATGCTCAATATTTTGCGTGTTACATCTGTAAGATTAAAAATCTTTTTTCGTTACATTATTTAAGTAAACACATAATTTAAAAAATATAAAAGTAAATATTGTACGCTTAATAGTTTAATTAAATATATCTTATTTGTCTCTATTACAGTTCGAATTAACTGCTATAAATACCAAAATTTAAAAAAAAATGTCAGCAATGCAAAAAAAAAACAAAACAAAAAAAATTACACGTCAAGAAGTTACATAGATAGCGTATTTTTTACTGCCAACGCAAAACATTTAATTTCACTCGAGCGATGCCGAGCACAAACTGCTAGTCTTAAATTACGGAAATATGAATGATTATATTGAATACGTAATATGGAAAGTATGCACTTTAAAATTGAATGGAAGCAGATACGTAGTAAAACATGGAAATAATGTATCTATACTCGAAAGCTTCTGAAACCTTGTAATCGACTGTAAAAATATTTCTGTTTGCATTCTAGCTGTTGTCACAGTGGTGAGCGATGGTTTTTAAATTTTCCGTGATGAAAATAGGGAAAGCGTAACATCGTTGTAAACTTTTTGGACCTACGCCAAATATAATGACAGATATTTGGATGACATACTTAGATTGTTGCAATTTTCTTTACTATTGTTATCCAATTTATAGTTTCGGGATGTTGATTTCAGTTTCATATCGGCGATAACCTTAATTTAGTTAGTTGAATTATAAATAGTTTTGTGACGCTTTTGTGCCATTCATAATATTTTTAATCTAAACTGTTTTCATGGAAACGATGAGCGATGAAGTATTAAGCTAAAAACATAAACAATTGCGGTTTAAAAATAAGCTTCAAGCGGCTTTTAATAACCTGAATTGCGCGAAGTAATTATTTATATCAAAACGTTTGAAATGAGGAAATAATTAATTAAAATTGGTGTCCATAATAAATCAATTTCTTAATTTATAATGCATTTTATTTACATTCTACATTAACCCGTTATTTATAATTAAAACAAAACAATAACAAATATTAGAAATAATAATTAAATAAAATTACTCAATAATATACTTTCTCCTCTGTACTATCAAAGTTGTCGAATGGATTAGTAAAAAGAAAATCGTACACAGTTGGATTACGTTTCTTCGAAATTATAACTACAGTAGGCTCGGTCATAATATCATCCACGTTGTACTCTTCTTTCAAATCTTTTGTTGGATTTTGTAAACTGTCAGTTTTTTCAGTCTCTTTTATTACGTTCTTAAAAACATTTTTATCGTCATTTGAAGTATAGATAATTTTCTCGAAATCCTTCTCATTGGTGTTCAAGTCTTCTTTAACCTTTATTTCAAGATCACGTACTCCTTTATTAGTTGAAATGTCAATGACATTCTCAGTTGATGTCTCTTTAAAATTGTCTTGCCACTTTTTGGTATAATTTCCTCTTTTTGTTGAATAATCATCTTTTTTTCCATATTGACCTCGTTTTGATTTGTAATCAAAAGGTTCCCTCTTCATAGTAAAATCAGGACGAGCTGATAATTTCAAAATCCTTAGTGGTTTTTGTATTTCACTGCTCTTTTTTAGAATTTCGTCAAATTCTTCTTCATTTTTTGGTTTTTCTGAAAAATCAGATTCCATAGAATTAATGTTATATAAAGTTTTACTGATGTCTTCTTCGCTTTCATCTATGAATTGATTTTTAATTGATTCGGCATAATAAGATGTTGGTATTTCAGAAGTATCTTGTGTGTCTACCTTGTAGTTTGTTCTTTTTGCCAAATAATCCTCTTTTTTACCATATTGGCCCTTTTTCGATTTGTAATCAAAAGGTTGTTTATTCGCATTAAAACTTGGACGAGCTGGTGATTTTAAAAGTCCCATTGGTTCAATTTCATTACTCGACCAAGTGTTGGACGATTCTGGTACATCAACAACTTCTTTAACAGGTTTATTTTCAACTTTATGTGTTATAATAACATCTTTTATAAGAGCATTTGGAAGATCGAGTAGTTGATGCATATTAATATTAAGATCCAGTGGGTAACCTGGGTTCAACATAGCATCGAAATTGTATTCTACGTTTGCAAAACGTCCATTTACTGCTGGTTTTATATATGGAGCTATAAAGACGAATATTTGGAATGGTAAACCATTTTCAGAGCCTTTAGGAAGTACCAATCGCGAAGGAAATCCTGTCTGAGATTCTACTGTTTTAAGTGGGAGAGCATTTAATCCAAATTCTGCATCTTCTAACTGTTTCTTTATAATTTTTAAAGATGTCAAGTCAGGTGATAATTTCATCTCATCCGATGTCCTGGTTATCATATTTTTACCTCTTTTAAGGTTAATTTCAAAACAATCAAGCATAAAGAATAGATTTTTCATTTGACCCATTTGTCCAGGCAAAACTTTAGGGCTTATAAATAACTTAGCAAATCCCTTTTGTGTTACTAAAGATGAAATGTTAAGTTTTATTGAAAATGGTTTGTGATTCAATCTATACTGCCCGATCTTAACTAAAAACTTGCTATTACTTGCCGAAGTTTTGAGAGCATCGGTTGCATCAAATTCAAAGTATTCGAAAGAGGTCATCATTTTTTTTATATCTACATTTACGATTTCTACTCCAGGAAAGATTAAGTCGTTCCTGCTATAACCTGGTAATACACTTAGAGCGCAATCAACTAAATCCACTATTTTTTTGTTAATCTTCCAGAACATAGGATCTCTTACAGTAGTTAAATAGTGTGCTAACACCGAAGGTAATCTGAAAAAATAATTATGATTATTAACAAAGAAAAGTTGAGTGTAAATGAAGCATTTGTCGCTTATTTACGACAATGAATAGGTAAAATAACATTAAATATTATTATGCTCACCTTTGTTCGGAAGTAAAGTCGGTACCAAGAAGCTTGTATGCCAAATTTTGATAGCTCTTACTACTTATTACTAAGATGTCCATTAAGTGATTTATAATGTCTTCTTTGGCGAACCCTTTGTCCCTCTGAAAGTTGTTAAATTTTATTTATTCATAAGAAATATATTTGTAATTTTATATAATAATAATTATGTAACTAAAATAACTTACCATATGGGAGGCAACTGTAACAATATTCTCCTCAATGTTTCGAAGTAATGTAAAGTCTTCGCTATCAAGTAAATCAGCTAAATTACTTTGGGCAAAGTCTTTTCCGTTGGAGTAAATCAGCGTCGAATAGTATGGTATCATTGTTTTTATATTCCAGTCAAAATTTTCTAGTTCTGGGAGATCATTTGAATACCTTTCTAAGTTGTATCTGGTTGCAAGCTGTTTTAACGTATGATACAAATTTTCACCTAATTTAGGTCGAATGCCTAATGAAACATTAAGCCATGGAAATGAATTTAATTTGTTTAAATAGTAATAAGTATTTAATCCAACGTCCTCATTAAAGTACGTTAAAGACTCTTGAGTAGTTTCGTAAGGACCGTTAGAGTATTCAGCATCAACAATATACGAGTTGCCTTGTTCACGAACGTTTTCAGTAATATACCATTCTTCATCTGATAATAATAATGAACCTTTGATAATAGCTTCTTTATTAACAAAATAATTTGGAAGCAATTCGTAAGGAGGTGGGATCGAAACTTTTTCGGTGTCTTTTCTATTCAAGACTGCGAGATAAATTGCGTCGACGTAAATGCCACAATTAATGTTTTGCCTCGCCCAAGCAGCTGCTTTGTAAAATGTTTCAAAATCTTTAGCAAAATAAAGAACTTCGAATATAATTTTCAATTCGGCTACATGATCTTGGTTGTATTCTGTAAATATTTCGCCCTTAGGTAAAAATCCCTTTGAACTCTTATAATTTTGGAGAGTGGTTATTACATCTGGGTTCTGGAAAAAATATTAAATGATCCTCATTTTTTTTTAATTTACAATAATAGTATATTTAATTAATTTAGTATTACCAGATAATTTCCGTTTCCGTAATCATTTGCAAAATCATTACTTAAACTTGTAATCAGTAAATCATTACTGTCTTCGCACACATTTTCGAACAAAGGCATTAAACGTCTTTGAAAATACACCCATTCTTGTTTCTGAACTGGAACTGAAATAGGGAAAAATATTATATTACCAAGGAAAAGATCGCCAAAAGAGTTTGATTTTGTAAAGACAAAGGGCACATAGTAAAGAATATCGTGCACAAAATTAAAAAAAATTGCCAGAACTATATCCTCTTCTCAGTAGACCAAAAAGAAATGAAGACTACATAAAATAAATTTTAATTGATAGAAACCATCAAACCGTCGAGCTTCAATTTTATAGCAACCATTTAAGGGTTTTACGTAAATTCTTAGTACTTACAAAATTAATATTTTACCTGTTCTCGGTTGCCATGGTGTTGTAGGAACCTTAATAAGGTATCCTGAAGTCCCAAGAGAGACAGCAGCTAGCACTAATAATGTTAATTGAAACATGACTACGACTGATTCGTTATTTCGTTCTTTGCTGTATAAATACTTTCTTTAAGGGGCAATGAATTAGTTATTCTTGAAAATAAATAGATAAATAGTTTAATGCACTATATTTTTACGACAATTTTGTTTGTTATGACTAATACGCAACATTATAAAGTCAATGGGATAAGAGGTCAATCATATTGAATAAAAACGTCAGGAACGGTAAATATAAAGGCTCCTTAAGCATAGTATCTAAGGATTTCAAATCCTGACAAAATTGTCATGATTTTTTTAGTAACGCCATTTGTTTCTCTGTACTGTTCAACTGTTTGAACACATCGTTTAAAAGTAATGATATTTATCTATAAATCTATTTTATTGTTAACGTTTTTATAAAATTACTAGCTATCGCCCACAACTTCGTCCGTCAAAAAACATAATTAGTATTCTACGTGTTTTTCAGGACCTTGTTCTATATGTATGCCAAATTTCATCGAGATCCATTCAGCCGTTCTGGATATACTTTCCAACAAACATCCGTCCATCCAATCATTCATCCATCCATGTAAACATTAGCATTTAATTAATATTAGTAAGATGACTGTGGTCATGCTTAATCATATAATTTTGACATAGACGGGAGCATAAACCGTTCAACCGTTCTTATACAAATTTCATAAAAGTAAAGGTCATAAAGGTCATGATTAATGCTGCCAACGTATAAATTCTGTTCAACACCCTTAGTTAACAAGCGCGTGAGTTTATAAAATAGATAAAAATTCATAAGTTCGTCATCCTATCTTTATCAGTTGCAAAATTATTACAGGTCATGTCATAACAAGATTTATAAACAATCTCCAACGCTATCCAAGTGTAATGTCAACGCACTGACCTATCACAAACTTGCTGTGAACAATCACGTTGTTTTTTAATGAAGTTATCTCGCTATTTCGTCATATTTACGCAGGTTATTACAGAATCATAATTTAGTCTGGAACTTTATCAGTTTCTAGAAAACGCTTAAGCTAATTAAGGGTTCCATAATATATTTATGTTTCACCAAAAATGTCTTCAATTTTCAACGTCAATTTTACAGATCTGCATCATCATCATACATCCCCACCGAGGGGCTCGGAGCCTACCCTAAGTTAAGGGTGATTAGGCCATAGTCAACCACGCTGGCCAAGTGCGGGTTGGTTGACTTCACACATATCTTTGAATTTCTTCTCAGATATGTGCAGGTTGCATCACGATGTTATCCTTCACCAATTCAGATCTGCATGCAATTGAAATATATCCTGTTTTAGGTTTTGTATGACGAATCAATCAAATCTTAGTACATCTATCTTATTCATTGAACTAATGAAGCCATTAGACAGTTGAGTTTATTTTCGTCTTTAATTATGTTTTATGCTTCGACTGGCATTGATCCATATACATTTAATTTTACTACGCTGCATTAATGTCTCTCGATAATGCTGCCAACATTAGCTTCGATTACTTCCATTTCCCTATTAATTTATTTACAACCAATTTAAATCCAAGTTAATAGATAAAATAATTGAATTCACACTTTTTCGGTCATCATCGACTTCGCGGAGTATTCATTTGAATTCCGTTACATATATAATCATCCCTTTTACTGTCATAATAATATTATAAATGCGTATGTTTAAATGAGTGGATGGATGTTTGTTTGAAGGTATCTCCGGAACGGCTCAATGGAGCTCGCTGAAATTTGGCATAGATGTAGAACATACTCTAGAAAACCAACTAATTAAGTTAATTAGTTGTTCTAATAGTAATCTAAACAGTGGTCTAATGTTGTTACTAATTACATTTTTTTTAATACCGTGCGGACGGAGTCGCGGGTTACAGATGGTCTTTGATAAAACAAAGACTTCATATGTACTAGCCCAGACATGGCAGAAGATTTCTTCGGTAAGTCAGTTCTAACCTATTCTAGGTCAACGAATACGTCTTGCGTATTCCAAAATTGAATTCCGGCCAGAGATAATATTTGCAATACGCATTCATACTGGTTTCAGATACTACTAATACGAGCGGTATTTCTTTAGTATATCTCTCAGATGTTGTAATGTTGATAGAAAATTCCCTAAGTATCATTTCTTTTTACGTATAGTATTCACAGTGGGTAATATTGTTGTGACACATTATGTCCACTTTGCTTTCCAATCCGTTTCTTATACGAGAATGATGGGACGATGATGTAGATTTATAGGTAGGCAACTCATCTGCAATTGCGGATTTCTATGGGCAACAGTCGCTTCGCTATTATGACGAATTTAGGTTGGCGCTTTCACGTTTCCCAACTTAATATTATTTGATTGAACAATCATGTTATACTATAGTAGTATTAGTTGACACATTCTTTTGTTCGATATAACACGTTATAGAGCAGAGAAAATATCGGAAGCTATATCAAGGACTCGTAATGTAAACAACACTATCCAGATCCGTAAGCAAATACTTGTGAACGGCCAAATATAATATTTTACTATCCATTTACCAAACACACGTCTATTTAATAATATTGATAAGTTTCTTCTATAGAGGAATTTGACAAAACAAGTTTTGATTGGTCAACCATAGTCTCTTCGTTATCTTTCATTTTTATACACTTCGTTAATTGGTATATAGTACGTCTAAAAAATAATCTACTATCAAAGATCTGTGGAAATATTTGTCTTTAGTCTTTTATCTTATTCATTCCTTTGTGTTGGCTCAAGACTTATGTCTAATTTTTGCATTTTAAAATAATTCTAATTGTCTAACAAAAAAAAAAGAAAGTAGCCATTAGCTATAAAGCTGCAAAAATGAAAGTGGCAATAATTTTAATTGTTCTAAATATAATGTATGAGTATAAAGGTGATGTTACTCCGTCGCCAAATATCCCAGATAACACCTTGTCATGTTGCCATCATTTGTTTTGAGCGAGTGCTAATGGAATTCTTCTATGTCTACGTGCCAAGACACTTGGACTAAATGAATGGAAGGCCTGTGTCTCTAAATACTATCACACATTATAATCAAAGGTCTAGTCTATATTTGATTGTATTATTGCTACGTTGTAATCAAGATCGTTAGAAAAATACTTTCGTACTTAATTTCTTTAAGACGACGTATCAACAATTTTAAGATATATGCCATCTGTTGCATAAACTCATAAACACAGATGTAATAGCACATGATTCGATTTATTGCTTGTGATTTAGCTATGTTTGTATTTATCTTATAGGATAATATCAGTAAACTGAACAAAAATATTAAAGAGATATCGTTATTGACATCATCATCATCCTTTATTTGCTCATTTTTGGACATAGCATGTTATATGCATATCATGTGAGTTTTTAAATTAAAGATTACCATTGAAAGTTGCATAATAAATTATGCCATCTAGTGACAAAAGTTATCACTGTATGTATCATAAAATAAAATTCACAGTCACCAACAGATGGCGACTGTCATTCAAGGATTTGGAATTTCGTTTTGTAATACTATTTATTACATTTATTAAGTTAGTTATTATGTACTATATTCTATGTATATGTCTTTGACATGATTTCATTTTTTTTTTCACCGAAAGAAGAACAGAATGTTCTCACATAACCTGCCAATTACAATGTATTATTTTCCTCTGGATTGGCCTATAAAGTAAGTTTTTAAATTATAATGACCAACAGAAATTAAACGAAAAAACAAATTACGGAATTAACTTGTTAATATCTTTATTTTCTAAGTTTCGACCACGTTAAATGTTGTTTTCTATTTGTTGAACATTTTTAGTAGGTTGCTTACTTAGATTCTTTTTGAAATTGCAAAATAATCAAGCAATAAAATATATGTCTGTATGATCAATTTTGTGGAATAGTGTTTATTTTTAAGAGATTTCTACAAATATTTACGCAAAGCTGCAGTCTCCTCAATTTATCGGCACGGGTCTGTTGACAAGTGAAACGTGTCGAGTGTGTAAATTGGATTGAGAGGAAAACGTTGAAAGCTTTTTATATTAGGCTAGATATCGTATGTACCAATTTTGCTATGACTAATGTCGAAGTAGTACACAATATATTTGGGATCAATTTTATATTATTATTATTTACTTTATAGCGAAATTTATTTATGTATGAATACTATGAGTCTAATATGGCGATTCAACTAGTTATGAGACTAAATTATCTGCAAGTTGTTCGTTTTCTATTACTCAATGTATCTAATAGCATAAAATAAACGAATTTGGCGGCAAAAAAAAACAAAATTGCATAATTATAAATAACACATGGATTTATTTATTTCTTTTTTTACAATGCTTTGCTTTATTTTTATGCAAGTCTCAAATGTTCTATAACGGAAAAATGTGGTTTTTGTATTTACAAGTCAAAAAGGTTAACATCTTTGTCTACCTTTTTGTTGATGTCAACGTCAGTCATGTAATCGTCCATTCCTACCATAGTTCGGTCAAACATGTTGTAGTTCTTCAGCACCCAGCGGTCCCATCTGGTCTTCATATCACAGCCTTGCTTCTTGTGGTAGATCACAACATTGACGAATTTCATGTTAGGTGTAAAGAACTTAGCAACGTCAATAGTACGATCAAACGGAAAACCTAATGGCATCTTGTCAAGAAGAACAGTGGATCTGAAATCTACAACCAGGTCCTTGCGGTTGGTGTCAAGTATGCTTATGTCAACGTTATCAACCAACTTCAACGGTGTTACGATGGCGTACAGCAAGAAGTTCATACCACCGATGCGACCCTTAGGCAACAGAAGCCTTGTCGGGAATCCAGTGTGGTAGTTCCTCAAGTCCTTCATCAGCAGATCCCTCATGTCGGTCATTGTGTCAATCTTCTTCCAGAAGTCACGCGTCATGATACGATCGCGCACCAAGTTGTGCATGTCCATCGAATTTCTTACAATGGTATTCTTACCGGTGTTCAATTTGTAAAGGAAGGAGTCCAATTCCACAAAGTTTATGCGGTTGCGGTCGAGATCAATCAGGCGGCCCCAATGATCTTCTTTTGGTCCCAAGAATAACCTCACCACACAGTCTACAGTTTTATCGGACTGAATGTCAAGTGTGATTGTAAACGGTTGGTGGTTAAGACGACGTTTGCGTACCAAGAATACCATATCAGAGGTAGTCTTTTTAAGTTCATCTCCAGTTAGTGTAACGGCATTTGTCATATCCATTAGGTAGTCGTCAAAGTATGTTACCAATTTATCAACGACGATGTTATCAATCTTTACTCCAGGGAAGAATAGTTCCTCCTTTGTGTAGCAAGGCAGACGTTTCTTGAATAGTATCAGCAAGTCACACAAACGTTTCTGTAGTTGATAGAAGATCGGGTCACGGAGAGCAGTTTGGTACATGTCGAGAACAGTTGGTGTGACAAAGTATCTGAAAAGAGACGTACCATGTGAAAATTTGTTATAAACAAAAATTTGTTACCTTGTTATATAATAAACCAATTTAAAAACTTGTTTTAGGCTGAAACTTACTTGTCAGAATTAAATGTATTAAGTCCCATTACGGATTTCATGATGATAAGCAGATAGCGGTAAGCATCAATGTGGAATTTATCAACTTCAACCTTGTCGATTTTTCCGAAAACAAGCTTTCCTAGAGTCTCAACATCTTCATATTTCACCAAGTCCAATCGGATACCATTGATCTATTCATTACAAAAAAGATAGTCATTGTCTGGAAATTAAATCAAATTATATTTTACAAATTATGAAATACTTACATCTATGTAGCCCTTAATGATGGCATCTTTAATAATCATTTCGTAGTTTTCGACTAGACGCACAACGTTGATATCCTTGTCACCAACAAGAACGTAGTTGTTTGGTCTTAGTGGTAATTGGACACCATTGTGAAGCAGCATCCATGGCCAGTAACCCTTCCTAATGGGCTTGTTCCATGTCAATGTAGTAATCTCACCAAGTCCGTTTGACAAGCGTTCCAAGTAGTACCTTGCTAGGATTTGTTGGCAAACATAGAAATTCAGTTCCCATCTACGCATTTTTAGTTTATCAATAACGTTGTCCTTCATCCAGAAGGGATAGTCCACATGGAAGTAATAGTAGTAAGTGTTTAGATCAATATCCTCAGTGAAATATCTGAGCGTGTCTTCGTCGCTAAGGTAAACGCGTTTATCGAAAATGTTCTCATCAATAACATAGACGCCCTTATCAGTCATCTTGATACCGTAGAAGTCACAGAGTTTTGTGTCTAGGAGTCCTCTCTTCATCTTCAATAAATAAGCCTTTTGAATAACATCGGCACGTACAAAGTAGTAGGGGTAGATCTCATAAGGAGGCGGTAGAATAATTCCCTTGCAGTCTTCGCGATGTCTGACAGCCACTGTGAGAGCGTACACGAACATACCCTCGTTCATGTAGAGGCGCATCCAGCAAGCTGTTTTTATGAACGTGTTGAAATCTTTGGCGTAGTAGAGCAAGTGGAACATGGACACGACTTGCTTAAGTTGGCCGTCGACGTGAATAGTGAATATTTCACCACGGGGCAGCATTCCCATTTTTACCAAGTTGACAAAATTTTTAACGACATCAGTTCTCTAGAAAACAATAGTAGGGCTTTAGCAATTTACAATAATAGTCCATAGAAAAAAAATTGCAATGTGTTATTACAAACTTACGGTGTATAAGTTAACATTTTCTTCGATCTTAAAATTCATTCCAATTTCTTTGATGTCTGTGTACATCACCGGCTCAATGACATGGTTCAGTAATTTCAAAATAAACATTTGCTTCTGCTTAATATCCATCGTGACTGAAAAGAAGAATACATAATTTTAATATACATTTATCTGCTTTTAAAGGTTTTCATCATTATATATTTGCTACTGGACATAAAATATTCGATGACTAATTATTTATTAAGCTTGGAATTCAATAGCGCAACGAAATTATATAAGCGAATGATTCTTCTCAAATTAAATCGGATTGACATAAATTATGATCAATTTTACCTGATAGGTTCACGTCCAAATCCATGTGAGCCGAGGCCATGGCGGCCAGGCCCAACACTAGCAAAGCAATCGACTTCATCTTGCAGTCGTGCCAGTGCTTTCTTGACTGTGCTTCTTCCACGGTGGATCTCGTATTTATATCCCAATTTCACCTAATTACAAGTGACCTTACCTATGATTGTTTTCTTTTTTGATAAATATTAACAAAGAACGTTCTTCGTAATGCAACAATGTTTCTCTATTGATAAAGTATCGAACTTCTTATAATACAATGTATTTTGTATCTATAAACAAATGAACCACCTTTATCAAGCATTTTAGTTGTAATCTATTTAAAAATAATATATTTAAGGGCGATTAAATAGTCCAAACAAATATCGTGAAAAGATGACGCAATTGTGAAACAATGTCAAGTTACTAAGCAGTAATAAGACGATAATTTTTTGAAAAATATATATTGACATCATTTCTTTGAACGTTTGGTTAAATTAATACTTATAATAAACAAATGTGGATCAGTCACATGAGTTACTCCCGCTTTTGTCAAAACTCATGTTAACGTACCCAGACTTCATTGCCAGATCACAACGCTGTAGTGGATGCATGTTTAAAAGAAGAGCCTTCTCAAGGATATAGGCTACACATGTTCCCCAGTAACTTTTTGAATTATTAGAATTTACAAGGATGTCCATTCTGCGAAGTGATTTTGTTATACATTTTAAATTTTAGAGTTGTAGAGTCAGTAGCAGCATTACTAATTGCTCGAAATGCCCGCTACAGCTGCGCAATACTATAACCAACCAGAAATCAGGCGTGAAGTGGAAGTAATTTTGAGTTCCATTTAATGAGTGTGTGTGCTTGAGGCCAAATTCTAGTCCTCTTATTTCCACAATCTCAGTAACATAATAAATGTGAATGTTTAGATATATGGATGGATCTTTGTTTGAAGATATCTCAGTAACGGGTCAACGGATCTTTATGAAATTTGGTACAGATGTAGAACATAGTGTAGAAGAACACATAGGATACTATTAAGCATATTTTTCGTCGTGTGAGATTTTTAATTTGACGGATTTGCGGGCGATCGCTAGTTTTCTAAAACCGAAAGGATTGCAACTAAATGGCTCAGAAGAGGTGGTATAGGAATCTCCTTTCAGTAATTTCCCCTCCTCTGTCCATGAAGTTTTTAGTTGTCATTAATATTAATTAATTATAGGCAGCGGTCATTTCGCTATTGTAGCGAATATTCCGGTATTATAATGGTATCGCCTTTGCCTCCTCACTATTTACTAGTTTTATAATATAGGTGTGATGTTGCAGAATCAGTGCATATTTCTTGAATTGTGTTGTTGATGACAATACGATTTTTCATTTTTAATGTAAAAGGAAAGAAAGTTTAAATTTTTTTTTAATTGGACAAGTCAAAATCTCCAATTTAAAGAACAGATTTGATATATTGATTTATTACACTTTTTATTTATATTTCTTGTTATGTTCGATAGGTGTTCAAAACGGCGATAAGTGAAAAGTGTTTTTTTTTATTTTGAATAGAAATATTCTACTCGAAATCATTTCTCTCAAAATAATTTTATGTTGCTTATAAAAGTGATAAAATTGGGTGTCTGTAGGTATTAAAAAAAAGTCATACTTCGAGTACCGAGTCATGAGTACCCATTAGTCTTAAAACGTAGATAAATATGTAATGTACAAAGGAAATCAGTAACACCAAAACATTTAATTTATTCAATGTAATTAGAGAAAAATAAAAAACCGAAAACTATACAGATTAGTAAAGGGATTTATTTTTGTAATTTTATTATATTAATTATTTTGTCATAGCAACATTGTTTTTAATTTTTTTCAATGTAAGCACTAACAATATCTGCTTAGAATTATACCGTTGTAGGTAGTTTTATAATCTAGTGTTGATCATTGCTGCTAACTCCAGCTCAACTTACATCTTGAGCTACGTAATACAGTCACACATTTGATAATTATAACGTTCTCAACGATGCACTCAATTAGTTAGGAGTCGAAATTTAAATGGCAGCTGCTTAAATTTAAATAGAAAAAAATAGAAACGTAAATAATACACTGATTTAGAAGTACGTAATTGAATTGTTTAATGTTAATAGTGATTCATGAATTTTCAACTCGTCGACATCCCAGTTGCAGGTGCACACAACAGCCACCACGCTCCCTGTGCCCTCCGTGCCTTCGTGCCGCGCGCTCCGCGCCTTGGGCCGCAGTCCGAGACGCGATATGACGTGCGAAGAAATCAAAACAAATACTCGCCCTGAAGATGGACCCTCGAGGCTCCGAAACTAGTCGGTGTCATCACCGGACGGTCAGACGTGAGTTAAGCAGTTTCTAATTAATTTATTAGAAGTTCTTAGTTTGTAGTAGCTCCTAGTGATGGCGATTTTGAATGTTTGCTTAAATCTGTTGTATAGAATATAGAATACATGACCCCTGTTTGCGGTTGTCATCATGTAATTTTAAAAAATGTGCTCTACAGCTGCTACCGTAAATGAAATAACCTTTAAAATGCGTGAAAACCAAACATAACACTTGTATATGGCGATTATTTTCTCGCCCCTTTAGTTTAAAAATTGCAGATGTGTTTCCGGCCTTTAATAGGCAGGGAGAAAGGAAAAATTGTGAGGATATTTCCTTTTCCTGTTTATCATCTTCACCACTAAGTCCACTTCTTTTTCCCATCCTTTCCTAGTAAGAAAGTAGTAGAAATAAGAAGAGGGATTAAATTTGCACAATACTTTTCTATTTCAGATCTTTTAGATCAAAAATGAACTAAACTTTAAGTACTTACTAAATTCATTACGGATTGTTTAAATAAAATGTTGTGCTTTTTTTACGTAAGATAGAAACAGTGTCTAAAAAAATATTTTAAAATATAATATTACTATGTATACTTTAATGGACATTGTAGATATAGTTTTAGGTTAGGGCTTTTAATAAAAATAAGTTTATTTTTATAATTTTTTTTATTATTTTATAATGCTTTAAATAACCGTCATTTTTAAATTACAATCGCTTTAGTCATTGATTACAAGTCGAAAAGATTAACATCTCTGTCGACTTTAGTGTTGATATCAACATCTACCATGTAGTTGTCGTTACCAACAATGGTGTGGTCGACCATGTTGTAGTTCTTCAGTACCCAGCGGTCCCATCTGGTCTTCATGTCACAGACCTGCTTCTTGTGGAAGATCACAACATCGACGAACTTCATGTTCGGTGTAAAGAACTTAGTGTAGTCAATAGTACGATCAAACGGAAAACCTAATGGCATCTTGTCCAGAAGAACAGTTGATCTGAAGTCCACTAACAGGTCTTTGCGGTTGGTGTCCAAGATAGTCAGGTCAACGTTGTCGACTAATTTCAAGGGAGTTACAATGACGTACAGCAAGAAGTTCATACCGCCGACGCGACCTTTAGGCAACAGAAGCCTTGTCGGGAATCCAGTGTGGTAGTTTCTCAAGTCCTTCATTAGCAGATCCCTCATGTCGGTCATTGTGTCAATCTTCTTCCAGAGATCACGAGTCATGTAACGATCGCGCACCAAGTTGTGCATATCGATTGAGTTCCTGATAATGGTGTTTTTGCCGGTAGTCAGTTTGTATAGGAAGGAGTCCAACTCAACAAAGTTGATGCGGTTTTGGTTGAGATCGATCAAACGGCCCCAGTGATCTTCTTTGGGTCCCAGGAACATACGCACCACACAGTCAACAGATTTATCAGACATGATGTCCAGAGTAACTTTGAAAGGTTGATGATTAAGGCGACGTTTGCGGACAAAGAATACCATATCCGATGTAGTTTTCTTCCATTCGTCGTCAGTGTATGTTACGGCGTTAGTCATGTCCATTAAATAGTCGTCGAAGTAAGTAACCAGCTTGTCAACTACAACATTGTCAACCTTCACACCAGGGAAGTACAGCTCATCTCTTGTGTAGCATGGGAGACGTTTCTTGAAGAGGATCATCAAATCACAAAGACGTTTCTGCAGTTGATAGAAGATAGGGTCACGAAGAGCAGTCTGGTAGATGTCAAGGACAGTCGGTGTAACGAAGTACCTGAGAAAAGATATTTATTGTTACTATACCACAAATTTTTATTAATATTAGAGGGAGACTAAGAGATATGTGTTGTGGGCGTTATCGACATTAGTTTCTGTATCATTTTATTAAAGAAACAAAACTTACTTGTCGGAATTGAACGTGTTAAGTCCCATTACAGACTTCATGATGATAAGCAGGTAGCGGTAGGCGTCGATGTGGAATTTGTCGACGTGCGTCTTGTCAATTTTGCCGAAAACAAGTTTGCCAAGCGTTTCAATATCATCTACTTTGAACAAATCTAAACGAACTCCATTGATCTGTAAATTTAAACATTAAGATTGAATGATCATTAAATAATTTTTTACTAAAGTAACCGCGTAAAAATAACGAACTTATGAAATACTTACGTCAATATAACCCTTGAGAATAGCGTCCTTGATAATCATTTCGTAATTCTCGACAAGGCGAACTACGTTAATGTCGTTGTCACCTACCAAAACGTAGTTGTTCGGTCTCAGTGGGAACTGAACGCCATTGTGGAGCAGCATCCATGGCCAATATCCTTTCCTGACAGGCTTGTTCCATGACAAGGTTGTTATTTCTCCCAATCCATTGGACAGACGCTCCAAGTAGTACCTGGCAAGAATTTGCTGACAAACATAGAAGTTCAATTCCCACCTCCTTACTTTCAGTTTGTCAAAGAGCTCATCTCTCATCCAGAAGGGATAGTCTACGTGGAAGTAGTAGTAGTAAGTGTTAAGATCAATATCCTCTGTGAAATATCTCAAAACGTCGTTGTCGTTCAGGTAAACACGTTTATCGAAAATATTTTCATCAATTATGTAAATGTCTTTGTCAGTCTTCTTGATGCCATAGAAGTCGCAGAGCTTTGTGTCGAGTAATCCTTTCTTCATCTTCAATAAATAAGCCTTTTGAATGACATCAGCACGGACAAAGTAGTAGGGGTAGATCTCATAAGGAGGCGGCAGAATAATTCCCTTACAGTCTTCGCGATGTCTGACGGCCACTGTGAGAGCGTATACGAACATACCCTCGTTCAAGTAAAGGCGCATCCAGCAAGCTGTCTTGATGAAAGTGGTGAAGTCCTTGGCGTAGTAGAGTAAGTGGAACATAGACACGACTTCCTTAAGTTGGCGGTCGACGTGAATGGTGAATATTTCACCACGGGGCAATAATCCCATTTTCACAAAATTGACAAAAGTTTTGACGACGTCGGTTCTCTGAAATTATTGTTTCATTTGTTATTATAACTTATAATTTAGTGATACAAATGGCATAGTTACATTAACTGATACTTACGGTGTATAATTCGACGTTCTCCTCAATTTTGAAGTTCATGCCAATTTCTTCAATGTCCTTGTACATGACCGGCTCGGTGATGTGGTTCAGTAATTTCAAAATGAACATCTGCCTTTGTTTGATGTCCATATCAACTAAAACATATTTTAAAATATTTACAATTAATGTTTTGTGACAGGACTTCTGTTGCAAGGGAATCTAAACAAATTATACAATAAGAGCTCTCATACATTTGTAATTGACTTTTAAAGGTCACCGTAGAGTGGCATTCCTCTTTTAAATTCCAGCCTCATACCACATTTACCATATGGGGATAAAATGTTTAGCCGTTGGACTGTTATTGTGACTACTTAGCCTGAGCATTGCCAACGTAAACTTTGTGAGAAAATAATTAAGATATTAATTAAAGAAATCTTACCAAAGCGATGATCATCCACCTCAGGTCGAGCCGCTGCCAGGGCGGCAAGCCCCAGCACTAGCAATGCTATCGACTTCATGCTGCAGTTGAGCCGGTGCAACTGTGCTCCATACACTTTTCAGATCACCTTTTATACTAGAATCAATCATCCTGTGATTGACCTTCAATATGAATTGTTTTTAATTGATAACTTCTTCTCAAAGGACATCGACTTGGCTGCAGCAACAAAGTTGCAGTGCTGATAACCTTTAGAACTTTCTTCTATATGTTTTTGTAAGTAATCTTTACAAGTGATTGTTGCAATTACATTAAAGAGAAATATTTGTATAAGTTGGGTGCCTAATAATTACAAGAAATTTATAAGTTTTTTTTTCGGCAAATTTGACTTCAATTCGCCATAAAATATTTCCATAATCAGACTTTGAATAACAATAAAGACGACAGATTTAGAAAGTATGAAACTAATATCATACCATTGAAGAACTCTTGAAAAAACGGGAATCACAGTATTTTGTTTTATTCCGAAAAACGCAAGTGCATTGGGGATGTAAATTTCCCATGTATGTTGTTTAGAATTTAAATTTTACTCGAATAAAACTATTCCAATAATATACATTGGTAACCTAAAAATAAGTATCTCGAAAGTCTTATCATCTTTTCACTTTATGTATAAAAACATCGGTCAATATTGATTATATTAACATAACATCCAATTAAAATAAATAAATAGTACAGAGTAATTTGAATGCTACAAAGAGTCTGAGGTCCAATATATCATAACAAATAAAACATTCAGATAGTTTAAGTTCAAAGCGTATCTATGTTTTTATAGCTACATTGTTAGTATTAATACGAAGAAAAAGAATTTCAACATTAATTATATTACGTATGAAGGTTTGTTCTAAGGTTCTTTTGTTTCAAACATGCAATATTTTAACGCGGAATAGTTTCCACTTCACTCTTGTCTCTGTTGTTCTGTGACTTACTGTCTGGATGTATTATGGGATGTTTCGATTTTTAAATTGATGATACAAACATCTCTGTTTTTAAAAAGTTTCTAATTACAGCCTTATAAAAGTACTAGTGGTTGCCGGCGTCTCCGTAATAAATAATGGTAATAAAAAAATCATAATTTCTCGTGTTGAATGAATATATTGAATGCATTTTCTGCTGCATATATTGACTGTTAACAACTAAAGTTAGATAAAACCAAATTCAGAACATCTCAGTTTAAGTTTGAAGTTCATTTACAACTTTACGCTCCAGTAAACTGCGTAATAACTACAGCTGACCGATTTTCGACGTCGATGTTGGGCGACGGTCTTATTCCAAATATTATGTTCGTGAATATTTGAACCGAAAACGATATTTGTATGTACGTTGGTACTGTGACCTTTCGCTGTCTTATAACTTCTATGTTACAGTAGGTGTAGACTGTCAAAATACATGCTAAAATACTGTCATTCCTCTTTGGACTGTATTGGTCTGACATTTGCCTATTTCCGTTGCGGTTGCTAGCGTTTATGAAGATTAGAATTATTAATAGAGATAGAATTAATTAATTAGCAACGAAGAAAAAGCTATCATTTCTATGACCTACCCATTTGTATAGATTGCTGATCAGCGCTTTAAAAAAATTGCTTCCTCAATTGAACAATTTAAATGACTACTTTTGCTCGGCAATTGTTATTTTCAACCCTTACTCTGTGTACCTTATTCTGTGTCTTCTACGTTCCGTGTTCACTTGTCAAAGTCTCCATCGACAAAGAATAAAATCTTACTAATATTATAAATGCGAATGATTGGATGGATGGATGGATGTTTGCTCGAAGGTATCTTCAGAATACCTGAACGAATCTCTATAAAATTGGGCATACATATAGAACATAGTCGGATAAACACATGGGCTATTCATTATGTTTTTATTAATTTCTCGCGGACGGCGTCGCGGGCGACCGTTAGTTTGAAAATAATTTCGGAGTTGTTATAATTTTAATTACCTATGAGTACAGCTTTCAAATAAATCGAAGTTGACTATATGGCGGTATTGAGAAATTCAGTTGAAAGTTGCGGGAACTTGTTAGAAACTCGTAAATACGTGCGATATCGTTGTTAAATAGCAGAAACGATATACGAGGTGCAAGACTTTGATTTACTGTTAATTCAAACATGCAACACTTATGAGCGTATATCGCCACAATGTTCTGTAATGTATTGCAGTTTTGCGTGGCTTTAGCTTACTAGCATCAAGACAGGAGACACAAAAAACGTATTTTTCTGATACTTTGCTGAAACAGACTGTCTTTAAAAATATGCATTCTATTTGCGTTTACATTACGATTTAACGATTCCGTGTAAATTTAGTGATCTTCCGCTTTAATTACTACTCCTACTTTATATTATAAATGCGAATGTTTGGATGGATGTTAGTAAAAAGTATGTGCAGAAAGGCAGCATGGAACTCGCTTAAATGTTATATAGATGTAAAAAGTAGTCTGGAAGAACACATAGGCTACTAATTAAGTTTTGCTTTAATTCCGAGCGGACGTAGTCGCGGGCGACAGCTAGTGGTATATCTTGGTATAGTAACATATTACAGTTATTGCAATAAATTTTCAACAACTAAACAAGAGATATCAGTATCACCGGTCGTTGCACTGACCTATCACAAAATGGCAAAGGTAATGTTGCAAATAAAATATAATAACATACACGGCTTAGTAACAGATAGTAAGTTAAAAAATATACGTAGATTTGATTGCATACATCTTATTAATATTATAAATGCGAATGTTTGGATGACCAGAAGGTCTGCATGCATCTCGATGAAAAGATGTAGAACACGGCCTGAAAAGGATGTGTAATGTTCCCGCGAGATACGTTGGATTCATATATTTATTCAACTCGGCAATAGGTCAACACATCCAGTTAAGATTAGGCACATATATTATAACATACTAGCTGTCACCCGTGACTCCGTCCGCGTTGTAAAAATTTAATAACCAGCCTGTGTGTTCTTCAAGGCTATAGTCTATATTTATGCCAAATTTCAGCGAGATCCATCCAGCTGTTCTAGAGATGTTTATTTTCGATATTAGAAATACATTTTTTTATTTCGCGAAGACGAAATCGCGGGCGGTCGTTAGTTTAACAAATTAGTGAACTTAGTTGTAATAGTGTACTTAATGTTTCTCGAGGGTTTTACAAGCTTTTGTATATCCATTACACATATCTTCATATCTATATAATAGCTTGAGTGTCACTTTACAAGGACGTCGTCGGGTAACACTCTAGGGGATGCTACTGTTTATAATTTGCTGCTAACGTGCATATGCTTTTAAAAGTAGAGTTAAAGCTAATAGTCTTGTTTCGAAGGTAAAGTAATATATGTTTACGTTAAACATGAAATATTGAAGCAAATTAAATTGCTTACTTTTTTATTAATCCCGCCAGACTTGATACTCGTGGAATTCTTAAGACACTATCTATGAGTATCTTATACGTTGTTACAAAGTGTAATCTTTTTCTGTTCTTGATGTTCTTGTACGAAAGTGCTTGATTAGTAAATTACAGTGAAAAATCTAAAATAGCCGCCCTCACAAAATAGCAGATATATTTGTGAAGGCTTGCTCATATTGAAAATTTTTTTTCTTTTAAATATTTCTTATTTCTTTAACTAACTCGTTTCACTTACTACTTTTATTTCTTAATAAAATCAGAAGAAAATAAAAGCTTGAAAAGTTATATATTTTTGCGGTGTTGCCAGCTAATTATGGTTAACAACGTTTTTATTGAATTTCCTACCATAACCGCGAAGCCTGTTAGAAAGCAATTTCACTGAAAGCTAATTTTTCTCTGTTTGTACGAGAAAATTTTGTTTTATAACGTCATATTATTGTACGATGTAATTTAAGAAATTTATACTGTGATAAGCAGAGAAAACTTAGCTCTTAGTTAACTTCGAGGTTTTATAATATAAGTTGTAAAGTTTGCAGAAATTATTTCACTTCACTTTACTTTAATTTTAAACTAGCAGTCTTCCGCGACTTCGTTTGCGCTGAATTTAAATAAGATGCTTTTAATTCCCGCATACATTAACTACCATACCGAAGTCCTGTAAAAATCAGTTAAACTGTTTCAAAGATTACCCGGAACAAACGCGGACTTGTAGACAGACATATAGGAAAAAAATAGAAATTTCTTTTTCGATATACGTAAAGCAAATACTCATTTTCATGATATATTAGCTATCGCCCACGACTCCTTCCGCGCGGAATTAAAAAAAAAACTTAATGAATAGCCTATGTGTTCTTCTAGCCTATGTTTTACATATGTGCCAAATTTAATTTAGATCCGTATAGTCGTTCTGGAGATAACTTCAAACAAACATCCATCCATCTACATTCGCATTCATAATATTAGTAAGAAACAGATTGTATATTTTATAATGATAATCACGGTATATATATATTTTTCGAGATCCTGCGTCTGTAAAGCAATTTTATTCTTTGAATTTTGTTGCATTAGTAAGCTAAATAAAACCATAAAAATTATTACACGCGATATAATTTACTTCGACTAATGAATATTAATTACAACTAAATGAATGTAACGTCCCTCAACAACATAATAAGTATGTAGTTGACGAAGAAAATAACAAAAACCTTCTAAATGTAAATCGGTCAAATTAACTCTGAGTTATTTGTTCAATGCTGTCTGTTCAATTTAGTGGTACTTCGTAGTGATAAAATTTAAACTCAATTTAATAAAAAATCTATTTTTCTTTCTATACATTTACATACATAGTTCTTTGGGTAAAAATATTGCAAGTAACATTACAGTATTAAATTAAAAAAGCGCCCCAAAACCTTTTTGATTGCATGAAAAATCCAAAAAGTAGTTAGAGCTCAGTAATAAAAGAACCTTCATCAATATTCATTGGATTGACGATTAAAGCACTTTGGGGATTTGACAAGCTCACATACATATACACAAATCAACGAGTGTTCTGTCGGAAAACCGATAAACCTATTATGTTGGGAACAAAATTGTCCAATCGGCATACATTCATTACCATTGGTGGTATGATTTTACCGTTTATTTTTTATCTATT